GCGTTTAAACCCCTGCCTCGTCCCTGCGCGACAACAGTTCGTCGTTGCGCGGGCGCTTCAGCGTGCTTTCTGCGTGCGGCGGCAGGTACGTGCGCTTGGACTCGGTGGTGCCGGCCGCGTCGCTCGCCGACAGATAGGAAAACACGCTGCCCAACTGCATCAGGCGGCTGACCTTAGCCATGTCGATGCGGGACAAGTAGTCGATAATCGAGCTGTCCGGGCTGATGAGCGGCTTCAGACGCGCGACGAAGTAAAGTTTCTCGCGCTGCGCCGGCGGCAGTCGGTCGAACTCTTGCAGCTCAAGCGGACCGAAGGAAGTTGGATAAACGTCGTTCGCGTCGCCGATGGTTGCTCGTCGCGCTTTCGGCCGCACGCCGTTTAAGAAGATGTCCACGGAGCCGGCGCTGTCCAGCGCGGATGGCGGCGCGTCGCGCGGCTCGCCCGCCCCGCTCTCGTCCGGCGCGCCGCGTGGCGCGTACGCGAACGGCTCCTGCGGCAGCGGAAACGCGTCGTTCGTCGCTGCGCCAAGCGAAGAGCGGTTGCGCGCCGGCGGCCGCGGCTTCTTGGTCAGCCCGATGGAGCGACGCACTTGTCCAGTCTTTGGCGGCGGCGTGTTGCTGGCCGTGAAGTCAGCGAGAGGCTCCATGTTCGGCTAAGTGCGTCGCGGCACAGCGGCAGCAGCCCGTCGTTCTCTGTAAGTTACAAGCACGGGGCTGGCGTGGATCAGTCAACGCGCGGCAGGCTAGAAGATCGGCACTGCAACGTCGTGTCGCAGAAGAATCGAGTGTATAGACAAAACAGTTTTTAATAGTGTATTACTTTTTTAATATTGGATAACGATGGGCAAGGAGAAGCAGAGAATCAACCTCGTCGTCATTGGCCACGTCGACTCTGGCAAATCGACCACAACTGGTCATTTGATCTACAAGCTTGGCGGTATTGACAAGCGCACCATTGAGCGCTTCGAGAAGGAGTCGAGCGACATGGGCAAGGGCTCTTTCAAGTACGCCTGGGTGCTGGACAAGCTGAAGGCTGAGCGCGAACGCGGTATCACTATTGACATTGCGCTCTGGAAGTTCGAGACCCCGAAGTTCCAGTACACTGTCATTGACGCCCCGGGGCACCGCGACTTCATCAAGAATATGATTACCGGTACTTCGCAGGCGGACGTTGCGCTGCTGATGGTTCCGGCCGAGCGCGGTGGTTACGAAATCGCCATTAGCAAGAACGGACAGACTCGCGAGCACGGTCTGTTGGCTTTCACGCTCGGTGTTCGCCAGATGATTGTGGGCGTCAACAAGATGGACACGGTCGACTATGAGGAGGACCGCTTCCGCTCTATCGAGAAGGAGGTCGGAAGCTACTTGAGCCGCGTCGGCTACAACCTTTCGACGATCAAGTTTGTCCCGATCTCTGGTTTCATTGGCGACAACATGATTGAGAAGTCTGCGAAGATGCCGTGGTACAAGGGCCCGACTCTCGTCGAGGCTCTCGACTCTGTCGAAGTGCCGAAGCGCCCGGACGACAAGCCGCTGCGCTTGCCGCTGCAGGACGTTTACAAGATCGGCGGCATCGGCACAGTCCCGGTTGGTCGTGTTGAGTCCGGCATCTTGAAGCCTAACATGACCGTTTGCTTCGCGCCGTCGGGCATCACCACTGACGTCAAATCCGTCGAGATGCACCATGAGCAGGTTGAAGCTGCTATGCCTGGTGACAATGTTGGCTTCAACGTCAAGAACGTCGCTGTTAAGGACATTCGCCGAGGCTACGTTGCGTCGGACGCTAAGAACGACCCCGCGAAGCCTGCGTCAATGTTCCAGGCACAGATCATCGTCATGCAACACCCTGGTGTCATCAAGGCCGGCTACACACCGGTTCTCGACTGCCACACGGCGCACATTGCTTGCCGCTTCACTCACTTGGTGACCAAGCTTGACAAGCGCACCAACAAGGCACTCGAACAAACGCCGGAGAGCATCAAAAACGGCGACAGCGCTGTTGTCAATCTGGAGCCGACGAAGCCGATGTGCATCGAGTCCTACAAGGAGTATCCGCCGCTCGGCCGTTTCGCTATTCGCGACATGCGTGTGACCGTCGCCGTCGGTGTTGTGCGTTCTGTTGAGAAGAAAGAATACACCACCAAGGGCAAGAAGTAATTTTTCTATAGCCGCTGAACCGATATGCTCTAGCTCTATGCTGGATTCTCGATAACGTAATTCTCGCGACGTCTAGTATATTTTCTTATTTATCGTCATGCGTTAATGAAATGAGCGAACTATTCGCCAGATTTTCGCACGCTGAGCCCACGGGCCACGCCGTCGCGCAATTGTTCGACGTAAGTTGCGTCCCTTGCCACGTAGACCGCTGAAAACGAACTGTACACGTCGCCCGTCAAATACAGCAACTCTGCGATAATCGGTGATCGCTACATCACTCTGAAATGCGCACAGAACGCCGACTCCATCCGGCTGCTCACAGTCGACTTGCACGAGGACTTCTTTGTGCACCAGAAAGCAACGTCCAAGGTTGACTTCATCTTGAAAAACCCCTGCAAAAACGTTATTGCGTGCAAAGCCGTCGCGGTAGCGCTCGAAGCCGCGCACCACGTCGTGCAGGTGTTCGACGACGCAGACCGTTCTATTCTCGCTGAGAAGTCCTTCGTCAGTCCTGTGATCTTTTGGAAGTGGCTTAGCAGCCAGGTTCTCGTCGTCATCTCTGGTTTCGAAATCTGGACTTATGACCTCGACTCCACCGCTGGCTTCGTGGAGCAGTTCTACATTGACGCCGCTATCGCGCAGCGGCAGCCGCAGATCATCAACTTCGAATGCGACGACGTCGCGCAGCCGCAACTTTCCGCGCTCGTTTGTCTCTGCTGCACCGAGCAGCAGGGCGTCGAACTGATGACGCAGCTGCACTTTCATGAATCTAACGCAAGCCAAGTGTTCGCAGCGCACTGCGTCGCGTTCGGCGCGCTTCCAAGCGCTTCGACTGTGTCAAAGTTCTTCAGCTTTGTGCGCTTTGAGGAGAACCAGTTCCGGCTGTACGTCACGGACATTTACAAAAAAGGACCTGCCAACAGTAAGCTGTTTCACGTAAACGCCGTCGTGCCGGACGGCACGTACGAGCAAAACGACCTCGTCCTCTCTTTGCTTTACTCGTACAGCTATGGCTTGCTGTACGGCGTAACGCAGTCTGGCCGCGTTGGTGCGTTTAACGTACTGAACGGCGACCTCATCGAGAGCATCGAGCTGCGTGACGAACGCGTGTTGCACAGCGCGCTCGACCGTGCGACCGGCGGCATTCTCTGTTTCTGCAAAAGCGGCAAACTATACCGCATCAGCCCAATCGCGGATCGCATCATCGACGTGTACGCAGCGAAAGCGAACCAGGCGCTCGCAGTGGAGTTGGCGCAGGCGTGCTTCTACCCGCAGGTCCTCGACTACGCGCTCAGCCGCTTCGAAGCGTTCTTCAGCGCGCAAGAGTATGCCAAAGCCAGCGCTGTCGCTTTTCTTGAGAAAACTGGCAAGCTGCGCACGCACGAGGTGATCGAGCGGTTCAAAAGCTGTCCAGCATTGCCGTCTGGCGAAAAACCGATCCTTGTCTACTTTAAGGCAGCATTGCAGACCAACGGCTACTTTTCGGACGGAGAGTGTGAAGAGCTTATCAAGCCTGTGCTTGCGCAAAATAAGCTCTCGCTGTTAGAAACTTGGTTGAATAACAACAAGCTGCGTTGCACTGAAAGTCTCGGAAAGCGCGTGGCGCAGATCAACGCCGAGCTCGCCATTCGCATTTTCAAGCGCGCCCGGTGTTACGACCAGTTGTCAGCGTTGCTGGAGCAGACTGGTAAGTCGGACCTGCTGCAACTCTACGTGCGGGAGGGAAGCAGCGACGCCAACCCTCTCGAACGCGTTGAGCACTTGTTGGGCAGCAGTGCAGCCGATGCGGCCTCTTACGCCGAACGAAAGGTTCTCTCGCGCGCAGGCAGCGTAGACTTGCTCGCGTTGCTTGCTCTGTTCTTAAAACACAACCGTCTCGATCTCGCACTGCAGGTGTTCGGCAATTGCTCACCGAAGCTCGATGCGGCTCGCGCTCAGCCGGTTGAAACCGAATTGCTGAAGGCCTACTTGGCGCGCGATCCGCAAGTGGCGCGTAGCGTCATCAGGGACGAATTTCTGAAGCATTTTGACCGAAAGGCTATCGCGACTGCTTGCGAGGCAGAAGGCATGTTCGACGTTGCGCTGCTGCTGCACAGCGACCTGGAGGACGTGAAGCGCGTCGTCCTGCATTCGGGTCGTGCACTCTCGCTACAAGATCTTGAGGCGTTGATCAGGCGGCTGCCTCGAGCTGACGTGCCAGAGTTCGTTCGCTGTTTTTTGACGTGCTGCCCCGGCAGCGAATTGAACTTGATCGCCGCGCTCGAATCACAGATGAACTCGCTCCCTGTAGAAGACATTCTACGATGCTTCAAGGAAGTGGCCTCGGCCGAAAGCTACGTGCGTCTGCTAATGCGAGCGGTGCGGACCGTCGACTCGGCCGCGACACGCGACATGTACCTAGAATTCTTGATCTCGCACGGGAAGTGGGACGAATTGCGACAAGCATTCAAAGAAGTGTTTGGCTACACCGTCAGCAAGATCAAGGCGCTCTTCGACAATGCCGTCTCGGTTCCGCGCGACCTGCTTGTGTGGTTCTACATGCAGCACAACTTGATCGAGGACTTAGTCCGCTATTGCACTTCTAACGACTACCCGCAGGGCTTGTTCGATTTCGCGAAGAAGTGCGACGCGGAGTTGGGCACGCAAACTGTACTTCAGATGCTGGAACAAGAGTGTGATTCCGACTTGCTCAACTCGGTGCTTGAACAACTCGGCGGCTGCTGCAAAGTCTCAGCGGTCGTTATAGCACTCGAGCGTTACGAGCGCGTTGCACAGGCGAAGCACTGGCTGCGCTCGCGCTACGACAGCGGGTGCAACGACAAAACACTGGCGAACGCGTTGGCTCGCCTGGCGATCGATGCGGACGAGGAAGCCGAAGAGTTTTTGTCAAGCTGCGCTAACTACAACTTTGCAGCGATCGGCGCCTACGCCGCGCGCAAAGATGCAAACCTCGCTTTGCTCGTCTTCGAGCGCGGCGAGCTGTGGACGGAGTTCATGAAACTCTGCTGTGAAATGAGTCTGAGCGGAAAGCTAGCCCGTTTTCTCGTCCGCAAGAACGACGAAAATTTGTTCGTTGAAGCGTTCAGTAATAAGTACGCGGTCGAGCTGCGGCTCGATTGCCTTCGCGTGATGCTGCACGAGAACCTAGCCGACTCGTATGACCGCGAGCTGTTTTTCCGAGTGCTTAAAGCGCTTGAGGCTTCTGGCGAGCCGCAACTCATCATCCGCTACCTTGAGGCAATCATCATCGACCAAGCAGTTACCAAGTCCATCAGCACTGCGTTCCTCGCGTCCGAAAATTGCAACGACTTGCTGCTGCTCAGCGCGATCAAGTGCAACTCGCCGCGCATTCGCGAGTACATCACTAGTTTGCCCAACTACAACGTGGCGCGCTGTGCAGAAGCGCTGAAAAGCGCAGGCATGCTGAGCGTCGCAGCATTTCTGTACCACTCGCGCAAGATGTACGTGGAATCTTTCCAGGCGCAGTTACAAGTGAGCACCGACGTCAAGCAACTGGTAGAGTATTGCGAGTCGTTAGACGATGAGCGGCTGTACTGCTTGTTGCTGAACGAGCTCGCGCAGCGTTTCGCCGCCGCGCAGTCCGACGCGGAGCGGAAGGCGTTGCTCGGAACCGCGTTCGACACGTTCCGGAAAGTGAAGACTGTGGAGAGGTTGAGCGAGTTTGTGAAGCATGCGGAAAACTTGGGAGAGTACCGTTTGGTGCTAAACTTCTTCAAAGCAATCGGTCCCGCAGTTGCGTCCAGATTCGAGTTCGACATTCTATACTGCCACGGCATGCTGCTAGAGGCCGACGAAGTGGCTACACTGCTCCGGAGTAGCCGCAACTCTGCAGCCGCCACCACGCTCGGCGACCTGTTCTTCCAGCAGAGCAGCGCCACGGACGACAGTAAAGCGTCTGCGGAGTACATGCGCATCGCGGCTCTCTTCTACGGAAATTCTGACAATAAAAGCAAACTCATCACGTGCAGCTTGAAGCTTGGCGACCTGCAAGCCGCCTTCGAGATCGCTGCTGCCGCGAAAAATTATGCAGCGCTGCTGCAGCTGCTGCCCTCGGCGCTATCGGACGTCGACCTCGAGTTGGCACGGAAAATCACAACGCTGTTGATCCAGCAGCCCGTGCACCTGCCTGCAGTCGTCGCCGAGTACCGCAGCAGCGGAAAACTTGCAACGTTGGAGAGCATCTTCGAAACCGTCGTACAAACGCCGTCTGTTGCGCCCGCCGTCGTTCTCGAACTTGCGATCCTTTACGCGGAGTGCAATTCTGAAAAGCTGCTGAGCTACCTGCAGTTGACGCTCTCTCCGTTCGCGAAGCGAATCAGTCTTTTCAAAATCATCACGGTTTGCGAACAACAGCAGCTGTGGAAGGAACTCGTGTTTCTGTATCACTTGTCGGGCCAGAATGAGAAAGCGCTCGAAACCGTTGTGAATCACCACGCAGCGGCTTGGGGCCATGAGTTATTCTTGAAGCTAATCAAAGAAGTCGCGCACAAGTCGCTGCTGTACGACGCTGTTCTGTTTTACTTGTCATGGCACGCAGATTTGCTCCCAGATTTGCTCAGCTGGATCGGCCGCAAGCTCGACTTGGTGAAGCTAATCCGGCTGCTGAACACGCACCCGGCTGTCGCGAGCGCTCAGAGCTACGCAGATTCGCCCGTGCTGCTGTTTTTGCGGCTGTTTGAGAGCGAGCAGGCGCGACTTGACGCGAACACGTCGGCGGTCAACGATCTGCTAAACGCAGTTTACTTGGATCTAGATTTGTATGACCGGCTCGAGAATTCGGTGCGGCGCTTTGCAAACTTTGATTCTGCGGCGCTTGCCGAGAAGCTGTTGTCGCGCTCGAGCCCACAGCTGGACAAGCTTGCCTTGCTAGTTTTCAGCATCAGCAAAAAGTTCGCGGAGGGTATTTTGTACGCTTGCGAACGCGGCCTGTACGAAAACGCGATCGAATTGGCGCGCAGTAGCGGTCAGCCTGAGGCGGTGACGCAGTTGCTGCGGTACTTCGCCGAAGAAGTTGGCAACGCCGCGCTGTTCACGGCGTGCGCCTACCACTGCGCAGACTTCTTAAACGTTAGCGACGCGGTCAAGCTGGCCTGGGTGTATGGCTGGCAGGACTGCCTGTTTCCGCTGCTCGTCGACTGGACGGAAACGGCGCGCCCCCCGAGCAACTTTTCGCTGTCTTTGAACTCCGATGATTCGATGCGCGTTGCATCAAAGGAGACGCAGTTCATGCTGCCGAGTCTCTCGCGCTAAACTGCTTTTTCGAGCACACACATTGCTCGAGCTGAGCACTCTGTAGCCGATCGGTTCTGGAAAGTCGCGCGGCGAGTTGCACGTAGACGCTTCTGCGTCTCGCGGCCGGGCCTTTGCCAGCGTTCAGCATTAGCCGCGCTCGCCGCGCGTCCGCTAGTGCTGCACGCGTGCGCGCAGCGTTTACGTTGCCAGTGCGAATTTTCGCGGTCGCGTCGCTTGCGGGATGTAAATGTGCATAGATCATTGTTCCAGCCAGTGTGGCGCGACATGTTCGGGCTGCGCTTCGTTGACGCCGTAGTTCGTCAAGTTCCACAAAAAGTTTGAAACGTTGTGCCTCGCGCTCGCGTTGGGCGCGGTGCTGAACAGCGACTCTTTGATGCTGACGTTTGGGATAGGCGCGTAGTTCGTCTCGTCGCGCTCCGATGATTGAAGCATATGGTGGATTACGTTTCTGCGTCGCGCGCTGCTGCAAACTTACAAAATCATTTTGATTGGGTTCAAGCCAGTGAAGTCCCACAAAAATCCTGACTTTACGGCCTTGCCGTACCGCACCACGACGTGGACGCCGGGGCGAATGTTCTCGTAGTAGGTCACGTCGGTCAGCATGGTGCGCACCGTTCTGAAGAGAAGGTAGAGCGCGAAATTTAGCACGAGAACGTTCGAGAGACTGATGAGTAGCAGCGGGTAGAACAGTGGCGAGCTTAGCAGCGCTTTCGCTAGTGCGGGCAATTCAATGAGCCGCACGAGCACGCGCTTCGAGCCATAGCCGTGGAGTCGCTGCGTGGCGAACGCGAACAGCAGCGCGAAGTAGCTCTTCAGCGCGTAAATAAGCGCGCCGATTAGCACCGCGAAAGAGACTTGGTTTTTCAGTCCGATGCAGTTGTCGAGCCACGTGCAGTGGTGGTCGAAGCGAAGCACGCAGACGCCACAGCTGTTGCAGTGCTTCGCGCGCACGCTGCGCACGATTTTGCAGATGTAGCACGCCACGCCGGGTTTGTTGTGCTCGTAAAAGATTTCGTTGATGTAGTCCGAGTCGACGCGGTAGCAGCGCTCAGTGCTGATGGCCGGCTGCAGTTCCATCATGGCGCTGTGGATCTGTTCCAGCTGCTGTTTTTTGTACGTGATGCGTTGCTGCGCGTCGGCCGTCGGCCGAAACGCGGCCGTGTGCTGCAGTTCGGCGATTTGCGCGACGTTCGTTTTCGCT